ATCCGCATCCGCATCCGCATCCGCATCCGCCGCAGCACTGGCAGCGCGGCCGATGCTGCTGCGTCAGAATCCGCACAATCTCTACTATCTGCTCATCCGATTCGAGGCGCTCGGTCTGCCCGTCGGCTCGCTAGACACCAACATCCCTGTCGCCGCTCGGCCCACTTCGTACTTTTCCTTTGTTGCGGCCAATGCATCGGGCAAGGATCGCGACGACACCATGTCCATCAGCTCCATGGCCAGCCGCATCAGCGTCGTCTCGTCCTCCTTCAGCTCCTCGCTCTCCTGGTTTGGCGGCAGCACGGCGAGGGCGGATCCATCAAGCGACATCAAGTACATCTACTCGTGCTTCACAAAGATCCCCAGCCTCCGTCTCGGTCCCATCCCCGCACGCAGGCTCATCCAGGACTTTGAGGATTGCCCCGGCCAGTCCGCAGTGCCCCTCGACGTGTTCAAGAATTTGCACCTCCTCGAGCTCGACGACGTAGATCCGCGTACGTTGCTTGGTTGGGATCGTCTCTGCATCCAGCTCCGCAGCCTGTCGTGCAAGAAGAGCAACATCGAAGACCTCACCGATCTGCTCGTCGACCTCGTCATCCTAGACACCCGGCGAAGGCGAGGCGAGAGGGTGGATCCCAAGCGACTGCGCAGATTCGATCCGCCACCAGCCGAGTCAGAGACGGACGCAGCGCCATCGCTGCCCAAAGACATGCCCTCGCTCGCATGGCACTTCCTTCGCCACCTCAACCTCTCGTCCAACAACCTCACCTTTGTCCCCGTCGAGCCGCTCCTCGCGCTGTCGGCACTCACCCACCTCGACCTCTCGTCCAACCTGCTCAACGTCGTGCCGCCTTCGCTCTCGCACCTGCCCGCCTTGGTCTCGCTCAACATCTCGGACAACTTGATCGACTCGGTGCTCGGCATCTACGACGCGCTGCCCGTCGTGCGCGTGCTCAACCTCGCCAAGAACCGTCTCGAGAGCCTGTGCGGCCTCGAACGCCTGTACGCGTTGCAGCGCGTCGACCTGCGCGCCAACGCCATCTTTGAGGCGGGCGAGGTGGGCCGCCTCGCCCCGCTCCCCGCCATCGCAGAGGTGTGGGTCAAGGACAACCCGCTCGTCGAGGAGCTCGTCGACTACCGCGTCGACTGCTTTGCCGAATTTGCACGCGAGGGGAGGACCATCGCGCTCGACGGTGAAGCGCCGGGGTTCTTTGAACGCCAGAGGATCGCAGAGCGCGTCGGCTCGTCGACCAACGGTGCAGCCACGGCTGCTCGCACAACATCCACGAGCGAACACGAGGAGAATGAAGCGCAGGTGGCGCAGGATGCAGCCACCACGAGCCGCCTCGTGACGGTGGTCAAGAACGTGCGCCACCGCGCAGCGTCGCGCCCCGCCGCCGATGCTGCGAGGGGCAGGGGCGAACACCTCGATCTGCCAGGCCAGAGCCAGGCCAAGGCGTCGTCCGGCTCGCGATCGCGTTCCAACTCACGGTCGAGGCGCGATGGCGCTGGACGCCGACGCAATCAGCGAGTGGTCGAGTTGGACAGCTCACCACAGAAGCCTGTGACGGAGCAGAGGCGCGAGCGCACGCTGACCGACTCGGACCGCATCAAACACGCGGCACTTGCAGGCGATACATCGGCAGCCATGGACAGCGCCGATGCTGCTCGCACTTCCGATGCCGCTACCAACGGTGGACCGCATAGCTCGAGCGATGCGCTGGCGGCACACGGAGCCATGCTGTTTGCGCTTCCTCCTGGCATGGCGCCGTCCGAGCAGCACGAGCCAGGCAAAGCCAAGCCACGCACACTCACGTCGCGGCGCAACCCAATTGATTCGAGCACGCTCGGCCGAAAGTCGGCGGCGCGTCCCGTAGCTTCGGACCTGTTTGCCACCTCGGACTCTGCCACGAACAAGGCCGGCGCGACTGGCGAGGTCTCTGAATCCGCAAACGCAGGTGCGGCGCAGGAGCAAGTGGACGATTCGCCAGCGGTGCTGGCACGGCAACGCATCGCAAGGCCACGCACAGGTTCGGCCGCAGCGCTGGCGCGCCGCTCGCGCGTGACCACGAGCATGTACGATCCAGACCTGAGCGTGGCCGAGTCGGCAATGTCTCTCAATGCTGCGCCGCTCACCGAATTGACGGAGGAAGGAGCGCCAAGTGCAGCAGCAACCGCTTCGGAAGCAGCCAAGCCGGTCGTGGCTACATCGCCAGGAGCCACGGGCAAGGAGCGGACGGATGCGCTGCGTCGGCGGATCGAAGCGCTCAAGTCGGAAGTAGGCGACGACTGGCTGCGCCTCTTGGCACGCGGTGGTGGTACGGCGGGGGGGCGC